CCCCCCCCCCTGCCTTTGCCCCATCCTCTCCCTCCCTCCTGTAGCCCGGCCAACATGTCCGAGTGGAAGCCCATCCCCCGGCGGCAGTTCCCCAAGCTGCCGGGCCTCCGCACCGAGGAGTCTATCTACTGGCGGAAGTATCGCTTCCCGGTCCTGGTGAAGGAGACGGGCGCCGTGACGAGCATCAACTTCTCGCCCGTCCGGCCGCACGACTTCGCCGTGACCAGCGGCATGCGGGTGCGTTGCCATCCCCCCCTCCCGCCGCCACGCGGCCCTGCCCTGGCTCCCCCCCGCTTTTGTGACCTCCCCCATGGCGCCATATGGCCACTAATGCCTCCCCCCCCCCCCCTCGCCGCCGCCGCCGCCGCCGCACCTTCTTGTCCCACGTCCGCGTATCATGCAGGTTCAAATTTACTCCCAGAGCAATCAGGCTGTCCGTCGGAGTATCTCGCGCTTCGGCGATGTGGCCTACAGCGGGTCCTACCGCCGGGATGGTTCGCTGCTGGTGGCCGGCTCGGAGGACGCCAGTGTCCAGGTTTTCCACACCCAGACGCGTGTCATTCTCCGGACGTACAAGGCGCACCTGGGCCCGGTCCGGGCTACGGCCTTTGCTTCGGACAATGTGACTGTCATTTCGGCCTCCGACGACCGGACGGTCAAGCTGTGGGACCTGTCGGCCGACGAGCCGAAGCAGGAGTTCACCACCACCGATGACGGCCACTCGGATTACATTCGGACCATGGTGCCGAACCTGGACAACCCGAACCTCTTCCTGACCGGTGCGCACGCTCGATCGCGCGCCCATGTGCCTGTGTGCCGCCGCCAAATGAAGCAACCTCACTCTCGAGCATCGCTCCCCGCCCGCACCCCGGACCCTGCCGCGCCTACTCACACCTGCCGCGCCTACTCACACCTGCCCCCCGTCGCGCCTGTCCGCCCCTCCCGCCGCCCCTCCCCTCAGGCTCCTACGATCATACCGTCAAGCTGTGGGATGCCCGTACCGCGGGCGCTGTCATGACCATGGAGCATGGCGCGCCCGTGGAGTGCGTGCGCCTCTTCCCCGGCGGGTCGGTGGCCCTGTCGGCCGGTGGAGACCACTGGACCGCGTGGGACATGGCCGCCGGTGGCCGGGCCATCCACCAGGTCCGCGCCCACAAGAAGACCGTCACCGGCCTGGCCTTCGATCCGGACTACACGCGGATTCTGTCCTGCTCATTGGACCACACGGTCAAGATCCACGACGTGCGCGACTACAGCGTCACCCATTCGGTGGTGTACCCGGCTCCGCTGCTGTCGGTGGCCCTGAGCCCGGACAACACGCATCTGGTGGCCGGCATGGCCAATGGCCTGCTGAGCATTCGCCACCGGGCCACGGCCGCCTCGCTGGCCAGCGGTCGGGCGGTGGCCCCGGTGCCGGCGGCCACGGCCGCCGCCGAGGCCACCACCCAGGCGGCCATCGTCAATGACGGCAAGCGCTCGGCCCGGCCCCCGGCCTCGGGCTCCTACCGGTTCTTTGTGCGCGGCCGTGGTCACCAGCCCGGTGCCAATGACTTCACGGTGGAGTCCCGGCGCCGGCCCCGGCTGCAGCCGTTCGAGCGTTTGCTCAAGAACTACGAGTATCAGGCGGCCTTGGATTTGGTCCTGTCGCCGGATTACAGCCAGCGCCTGGAGAAGCTCCGCCGCGAGCACTCCTCCCAGTATGGGCAGCCCTCCAACAAGCCCTTCCCCAACCAGGCATCCCCGGCCTCGCCGCTGGTGGTCATTTCCCTGCTGGAGGAGCTGGTCCAGCGGAGTGCCCTGCAGCAGACCCTGCTCAACCGCTCGGACACCGACCTCCTGCCGCTGTTCCAGTTCATCATCCGCCACATTGACAACCCGCGCTACTCGTCGCTGCTGATCGATGTGGCCAGCATGCTGCTCGGTGCGTTTGCGCTGCCGGGTGCCCCCTGCTCCCCTCGCCCGCTTTTTTTCCCCCCCTGCACCCCCCTCCGCCCCTCTCTCGCCATCCGCCTGCTCCCTCGCATCCGTCCTACGATCGTGCTGTGCTGCCGGTCCGATGACTGCAGCACCCTCGCTTGTTGTTTTTTTTTCTCCCTTCCCTCCCCTTGCGGCATCCATTGCGGTTCCCGTCCGTCCCCCGCCCCCCCCCCCTCCCTCCCGCTCTAACCTGCGAACAATGCGCTCGCCGATTAAAAAAAAAACCCCACCCCAACGCCAGACCTCTATGACATCAACGCCGGCAAGTCCACCCTCCTGGACGACATGCTGGTTCGCCTGTCCTCGCGCGTGGCGGCCGAGCTCCAGACCCAGCGTCGCCTCTTTTCCCTGATCGGGTCGCTGGATATGCTGTTCGCCGCGGCGTCCACCTCGACCACCGGGCACATTGTGCCGGCCGGCCGGCCGGAGGCTCCGATGCTGCAGCCGGATGTCTCGGCGCGTGGCTTCCCGGCCCGCAGTGGCCCGTCCGGTGTGGACAGCGTGCCGGTCATCTCGCCGGCGAACCTGCCCAACACCTCCAACTAAGGGGTGTGGCCGTGTCGGGCCGGCGGCCGTGCACGGGGCCGGGCCGTGTGACCTGCGAGCGGGGGAGGGGGCGGCGGAGTGGTGCGCCGCGCAGCCGCGTGCGCGCCTGGCCTCCCTCTCCTCGGCTCTGCCCCTCCCCCGCCTCCCATCTCTGTCCCTCTCGCCACCCGGCGGCCGCGCGTCGCCCTCGTCCTTGTCCCCTCTCTTCTGCCCTCCCTCCCCCACCTCCCACACCACCAGCGTGTCCTGCCTCCACGATGGCCGGGAGGGTGCCGACGCCGACGCCGAAGGGAGGGATCTGGTCTCTGCCCCCCCCCCCTCCCCTCCCCCCTGCCCCTCCCTCTTTCTCTGTCTCTCCTCCCTCCTGCGTGCGTCCAGCGCCGCGCTGCCGCCTGCGCATACGCATAGATCCGAATATAAAATCCACCCAACACCCACTCGGTATCCCCCTCCTGTGTTGTCTGCGCATCCGTCCGACATCCCTCCCTTGCTCCTGGGGTCTCCCCGCCGGTGTCTCTCGCTCTCCCTCCCCCTCGCTCTCTTGGACCTCGTCGATGGCCGATGAACTGCCGCCGGATGGGAACATGTGATCGCCGCCAAGAATGCACCACGCCTATCTGTACGCACCAGGCCCGTCCCAGCATGCTCTGTTGCGTCCGGCCTGGCCCACCCCGGGGGGGGGGCGGGGGGCGGGGGGCAGAGTGCAGAGAACAAGGCGGGACGCACCAGCGTGTGGGTGTGGGTGCGCGCGGAAGCGTGAGCACGCCCGAGCGCGGGGGGCCGGGGGGGGGGGGGGGGGGGAGGAGCTGTCGCTGGTCCGAAAGTGGCGCCCAGG